CGGCATAAGCACCTGGCTGGCAAGCGTGAAATCATGAGTTCAATTCCCAGTACCAAAAAAAAAAAACCTTATAGAGTTGCAGGTATTCAGTGGCCAAGCACTAGCCTAGCATGCACAAGGCCCTGGGTTCAATCCCCAGCACCACAAAACAAAACAAAACCAAAAAATACTTTATGGACCTCAGACAGAACTAACTCTACTACTTATTCAGTTGGTTAAGTCAGGGAAATTGCTTTTTTTCAACCTCAGTTTCTCCACTTACAAAATGAAGATAACAGTGCCTATTTCATAGGACTGTAAAAATTAAATACTGTGCATAGAATGACCGGCACTATGAGGAAACTCAGTATTCCATGTGTTAAATCTCTTCCCCTTCCCTCTCAGGAATCCACCTTTTATACCTTTTATGCCTTCAAGATCATCAAGAGGTGATCAATCACTGCCTTGGACATTCATTGTTGCTATGCTATTCTAGTAACAATAGCTACTGTTTTCTAGAATGATTCCTGTGTGTTTTACATACGTTACCTTGTTTAATCCTTACAATAAGCATGTAATCATATAAGGCAGAAACCACTACAGTGTTTCCCAGATGACAAAATGGACACCTGGTAAGACTCGTTGACTAGTTGCCCACAGCACCAGCACCCAAGCAGACTGGTTCTGGATCCCATGCACATCTGCAGCACTGTGGCACCTCAGTCTCAGCCCGAACCTATTTCTTCACATGGATTCCCTACCACAGCACAGACCTGGGAGCGAGCAGCCCAGGAGCCCACGCCCTTTAAACCAATTCCGGGGAGCCTCAGGCTTGCCTTAGGAAACCGGTCTGGGAGACATGCCCACACAGTACTCATTAATCCACTTTCACAAGAACCTGGAGCTGATTTTGATCTAAGGAGCAAGAGGTGTACACTCAGGAGTTTGTTTCCACCAGAAAGCCATCCTAACTTAACTGGGTAGGCTTTTGTTTTTGCTTTTTAAATTTTTCAGCTACCATATTAAATTTTCACCCCCATCTGATCAAGATGGAAAATAAAATTCCCCCTTAGTAGAACTGAGCAAGACAATAAAAGACACAACAGATTTTTAATTCTTAAAAACTAGAAGGTAAACACACTCCGTCAGCCTTCCGGTATTTTAACACAAAGAGAAAAGGCAAGCGATCAAAGGGTACAGACGTGTGCCAACTCATCCCGACACCTCAGGGAGAGACAGAAGAGGGCTCAGCGAGGACAATCTGTCAGGAGAGGCCACACAGAGCTCGCAAACATCTTGCAGGCAATTTCAGCTCAGTCTTGGTTTTCACTAGGTTTTCATTCAGTGATGATAAATTCATTAACGGAAGTGGAGAGGTTAGACTGTAAGTTACTGGAAATGAATTTTGCTTAGGAAACATAGGGAACATTTATAAAGGAAAGTTTTAAGTAATATAAAAAGAAAAGAAAAGAAGATGTAGATTAGGACTTCAAAGACATCCAACTAATTCTTTCAATTGCCTTTAAGAAGAGAGTTCTTATTTTAACCTGTAAATCAACGTGCTTTACTTCTTTCTTGATTTGTTTGGAACTCCAGAGCAACACTGCACTAGGATAGAAATAAAACCACAAAGGGAAGAGAAAAATCTCCACCTAACATCTAGCCTAACATCCAAGCCACAGGCACTCCATCCTCTCCCCTCTGTTGAAATTTTACTACATCTTGGTAATTATGCTTACTAAAATAGCTCTATATAGAAGAAGATAAGATCATGAACCAAGTTGTACTCACTGTAGAGAAGATGGAGTTAAACACTGTTGCATGATGGCAATAATGATAAGTACTGAGAAGTCTGAATCGCACCACTAACAACCATCAAAAGTTGGGCATTGTGGCACCGCCCATAGTCCCAGCCCTCAGGAGGCTGAAACGGGAGGATTGCCTTGAACTTGACACCAGCCTGGACTACCCAGTGAGTTCAAGGCCACCCTGAACTGCATAATGACATCCTGTCTCAAAAAATAAAAACAGAAAAGAGGTATCTAGAGCCAAGGATACAGTAAGTAAGTATCACAAGCGCCTACCTTGCAAGCGCAAGGTCCTGAGTTCAATTCCCAATACCAAGGGAAAAAAACTTAGTGGCAGAAAAAAAGACATTGACATATTTTACAGAACTCCAAAACCTTTAGTAGAAACGCTTTCTCTAAAAAAGCTGATATTCACCAAAAGTAAAAATAATAATAATCAATCCCCAGTAAACATAAGATTAACATATTTTTAAATGAGTAATTGTAATGCAACTACTGTTCCTGACCTCAAGTATAGAAATGTAAATAAAAATTCCCCCAAATATAAATAAGAATTCCCCCACATATGTCAAGCGAATAAGTGAACTCCTCCCTAAGAAAAAGTCTGTATTTCTGCTTTTATTAAAGCACATTCTGCAATCTTAAGCCTTTAGCATTACCAGAAATACATTCAGGTGACAGCAAGATGCCCCTGCTGCAACTCAGAGATTGCTAAAAAGACCAAGACTTCTAGAAACAAGTACTCAAAGACAGGCTATCTGCTTAGTTCTCCCAGAAGATAAACCTCCTCCCAGGGGGATTCACAGAAACCGACGAGTGGTCAGATCTAAAATGCACTTTGTGTTATATGATCGAGGAAAAAAATACAAAACAAAATAGGAATTCTATGAAAATGCAGATTCTTCAGATTTAGAATTCCTGATTTATCTACTTACAGTTACAACTAGAGATGTCAGATAAAGCAACAGACATGAGGACAAGGAGAGTGAAATATCTTAAAGCCCTCATGTTATACGAAGCATCTGCCCCAAGAACAATACTCACAGCCCCTGATAACAGAGGAACACTCTGCTTTGAAAGGGGGAGAATCCTCCTGCCAATGGCAGCTTCCATAAAACTCCACAGCAGAGTCAAAACCCACCGTGAAAGAAGTAACATTTTCCTTGCCTCCTTTTCAGAGAGCCATTATGCCCCCAGGACATGGCTTTCTGACCCAGTTTGAGAACAGTACTCAGTCATACCTAGGAGTGGATGATGGCAGCCCCTCCCAAAGAAAACTAAGTATAAAGTGAAAAACCAGCCCACCTGCATGTACCCTCAGAAGAGAGACTGATGAAGGAAACTGCAGGAATACAGTAGCAAGAGAAATTCTAGAATGAGTGTAAGTAAATAATCAAGCGAACTCAAATACTTATCAAAATCTTGTAATTCTGGACCTCTAGACTGCCATACCAGTGGAGCCAAAAATATCAAATTGTTTTTGTTTGTTTGTTTGGTTGGTTGGTTGGTTGGTAGGTTTGGTTTGGTTTTGGTTTTTGAGATAGGGTTTTGCTATGTAGTTCAGGATAGCTTTGAACTCATTATCTCAGCCCAGGCTGGCCTCAAACTCTTGTAATCCTCCTGCCTCAGCCTCCCAAATGCTGGGGTTACAGGTGTGTACCACCACGCTCAGCCAAAATTACCAATTCTTAATGATAAATAATGAGTATGGAACTACCTTCAGTACTAAGTCCCATGATTTAATACTTCAATGTTACTATCATAAGACCAGGGTTGGGCCGGGGATTTAGCTCAGGAGCATAAGCGCCTGCCTTGCAAGCGCATGGTTGTGAGTTTGATCCCTGGTACAAAAATAATAATAATAATAATAAGACCAGGACAACTGATTTTCAGAAACGACAGTTTGGTAGTCAAAAGTGAGGTCTTTCCCCACGTGAAAAATGAAATGATGCTTTCTACATCTTCAGTATTTCTACAAATTTTTACACTAACATTGCTGTGTATTGAGGGCCTAATAGGTACTATGTAACCTTTTCCAGAGAAGCCACTTTTGTTACCTGCACTTTATAGATGAGGACATTGATGCTCACAGCAACTATGACACCAGCCCAAATTCACATAATTAACATGTGGTAGGGGAGCTAACTTTAACTCCAGTTTGAAGAAGTAACCTACACTTCCTCTCCAAAGAAACAAGGTTGCCCAACTCCCTGACACCATTCCACACACACAGACACACACACACACAGACACACACACACACACGCACATACGCACGCACACACGCACGCACACACGCACGCACACACGCACACACGCCTCCTCCTGACTCTGATTTGGAATTTACTCATCCAGTCGGTCAGCTACCAGGGAAGAAAGATTCACAGATGCAAAGAAACTTGTATTGCATCTCACTGGATGATAATACTATAACATCTCTAAGTGGGCAGAGGATCAATTTATATAAAGAACTGTTATAGAATCTCAGCCAACTTTCACTACATGGCCTTAAATTATTTCTTTTTAAAAAAATAACAATATTACAGAAATTTATGCCTCAATTTCTGACCTCTAACAATATCTAAACATGCTTCAAATTAATAGTTTATACTCAGGTGGCAGAATCGTAAGTGATTTGGGTTTAGTGCTTGCAACTAGGAAAAATTACAATGTGTTCATTTTAATGAAAAAATGTAAACATTGACCACTAAAATTATTTTTTCCTTAGCATTTATAAAGAAGGCATTCATCGATTCAAATACAATGTTGAGGGGTTGGGGATTTAGCTCAGTGGTGTTAAGTGCCTGCTTGGCAAATGCAAGGTCGTGAGCTCAATCCCCAGTACCAAAAAAAAAAAAAAAAGCAAATAAATACAATGTTAAACCAGATTAGAACTCATACTCAAAACAAGTCACTAGCAGTGCCAGCCCCTCCTTCCAGCCACCTCTGCCTCAAACCTGGTGGCGGTGGCAGGCCCATCAAGCCTATGTGCTGTCCCCAGAGAACCACATGTTGATGACACAGTCACAAGAGAAACAACGTGGGTCTCTTGATCCCTACTAAGAAGAGCCTGGAGGAAGACCTTTTAGACACCACATGATCAAGCGAGATTACATGTGAGTCACTGCCAGTTTGGGTTCCTATAATCCACTCACTCTATCAACATACTGCAATCATTGCTACACAAGAGTAAGTCTATACCGTTCGTCTTACCTTTCTCAAAGACTCCTTCTGCTTCCAAGACAGAGACAGTTAGGTTTGCCGCCTTCTTGAGCAGCTCGGCCTTCACAGTGATCTGTGAAGGGCTGTGTTCCAAGAGCTCCACCCCGATGGTCACATTTCCTCCTGGCCTGATGGTCCTTGGGGCTGTCACCAGAAAACTGGGCCTGAGGGGTCCCCAACAAGGGGAAACAGTTTCTTATCCTCACAGCTCTATTTCATGACCCTCAGATTTTAAAGACAGTGAATAAACTCCCCAAACTGTGCCTACTGCACACGGCGCTGTTAGCTCTATTTAGCAGCGTGCTGAAATGCTACTGAAACAGGAGTAATTCCCAAAGCACAATTACAGTGCGGAAGCCTGTGTTATGTGCCGCATCGTAGTAACCACAAATGGCACAGGAGGAGATTCGCATAGGACATGCAAAGCGCAAGTCCAAGCTCTTCCTTTAAGATAACCTCATCCCAGTGGCACCATTGCCTTGATGAAAAAGAAAAAAAAAAAAGGCAGACTAAGAATTTGCCTGCTTCTTATTAAAACCTTTATATTGTGCCTTACTCAAAAAAAAAATTATCCAATCCCACTGGTGGAAACAGCTGAAAAATGAACCTCCTGTGGCGGGAATCCCAGCGCAGGCTGCACAGAAGACAGTCAAAGCTGCATTTCAGTGCAACCAAAGCTGGAGGCTGGGGCTGGACTGCACATCTGTGGGAACGGGACACTTTTCTATCAGCTAGGAATTCTAAGTACTCCTCTTCCTACGTCGGCACTTGAACCTCTACTTCAGTTCCCTCGATGAGACATTAGTGCTTAGAGGAAAAAAAAATGTGTGTGTGAGAAGCCACTGTCTGGGAGCAAAACTATGAGAAACAGAAGGCAGAGGCAGTGAGGACTAAAAATAAAATGACTTTCTTTAGAAAGTTATTATGGCCAGAAAGGCTCTGGGATTTTATGAATGTACTCGGTAACTGCCTCACTCAGAGCCAACCTGAAACCTTAGAGTACCAAGGCTGGAGACCAAGCCGCCCAGAGCTTAGCCTCCTGGAGCCTGGCCCTGACTCCCACCCTACCCTTGATCTTCAACCCTCACGCTAACCCTAACCATGATCCTGGCTGGAACCCTAATTGCTGCGCACAGCGTTCGGTCTCCCAGTCCCAGGCCCTGACTTTGATGCTGATCTAAACTATAAATGCTAAACCCTAAATCTTAACCCTAAGGATAACTAACCCTCACCCTACCCCTGAACCCTGACACTGCCCTAACCCGCCCCACCCCTGGCTCCAAGTCCCCACCCCTGCCCCCCCCCCACACTCTCTTCACCCCTCGTCGCCCCTGCACCCCGTCCTACCCCGGCCGGGCGGCCAGAGCGGCGACGCCCAGACAGAGCAGGAGGAGCTCGCCGAGGAGCTGGGGGCCGCGCATCCTGGCGAGTCCGCTCGGGGTCCCGGCTCTCCGAGGTCGGGGTCCCTGGGTGCGGCGAGGCGCCTCGCTGAGCAGCGGGCTCCCGCAGACGGTGCAGCGGCCCTAAGCACGGTCCCGCCGCGTCCCGGCTGCGCTGGGCGGGAGCGGAGGGGGCGGAGCGGCGCGCCGAGGGTGGAGACGCCGACCTGGGCCGGCCGTGAGTCAGAGCCGGGACGGGAGGAGGCGGGCGGAGCGACCCCGGCCCCGGCCCCGGCCCGCGCGGCTTCCCGGCTCCGAGGAGGGGGAGAGGGCGGAGGAGGGCGCGGAGCCCGGAGGCGTGCTCGGCCCGGCACCTCCTGTGCCTCAGGCTCCGCTGTGGCCGCTCAAGGCAGGCCGCCGCCAAAACTGTTGGGAAGCGCCCCATGCGGTCCCAGCGCCTCCGACTTCTAAGTCGGGAGACCCCCAGAGGTCGGCGGAGGCCGCCGCCCGGGCGGAACCGCGGGGAAGCGCGGTCGGGGCGGGAGCGCGCCCTCGCCCCTTCCCGCGGCTCCCCGTGCCCGCTGTGCCTCCTGTGCCCGCAGGGCTGGGCGCGGGCACGGCGGGCCCGGGTCCAGCCTGCTCCTGCCGGATCGCTGCCGCTTCCCGCCCAGCGGGCCCCCTGCCCTCCGCCCGGCTGCGGGTGGCCACCCCATCCCTGGCCCGAGAGCGACCCCGCCTCGGCGCAGACGCAGATCCCGTGCGCTCCGCAGCCGCGCGCGCACCAGGCCTGCGGTGGGCAGCGCAGGACGCTCGGGTGAGCGGAGGGAGCTGGGGTCACAGCTCTCCGCGTCTCACGTCATGTCAGTGAACCAGAGTCAGTTAAACGAATGCACATGAATGTCACAGGGACTCCAGAACATGAGCTGATAATGCTGTATTCCAAGACCTCCAGCAGGCTTCGTTTTATAAGATTGAATGTCAGAGTTTAAACCGACGCGATCCCCCTATTTGTGCGTTCCGTGCCCCAGATAGGCATTGGTTAAACGATTTAACCTTATAGAAATAAAAATCGGCCTATTTCATGCCTGGCACAGAGAAGCTACTCAGTAACAAATTTTGTTAGACGGATTGGTGAATTATATCTCAAAATTATCTTTATTTTTTTATTAACTAAGGAAAACAGAAAATGGTCTGAATATCTAACAATGAGAGATTGGGTTAAGCAAAGGATTATACATTCAGGTAATAGACTCTTGCAAAGGCCAGGCATGGTAGTGCACATCTGTAATCCCAGCACTCAGGAGGCTGGGGCAGGAGAATCGCTGCGAGTTCGAAATCAGCTAGGGTTACAAAGTGAGTTTAAGACCAGCCTGAACTGCGTAGTGAAACTCTGTCAAAAAACAAACAAACAAAAAAAAACTGCCAAGTGAAAATTACGTGGTTGAACTGGAGACTAGCTAATGATCTAGAGACACGTATTCGTCATACAGAATAGGAAAGAGTCTGGTTAATAACTTTTGTCTTGAAAGAAACAGCCTGTTCTCTAATAGTGAGCTTTCCTTTTTCAAGTATGTATTGCTCTTGATATAGAATGAAAGCTTCTATCTGTCATGTTATTAATAGGCAAAACTTACAAGTGACGCAAAAAATATTGTGTACAGTCTGTTAAGGTTTTGATCTAAAATGTGGATCCCCTGGAGCCCACAGAGCATGCATTTGGACGGTGCCATTAGAGAAGGTGGGGTCCACTGGACCCTCCGCTTCCTGGCGACCACAGTATAAGCAGCTTTCCTCCACCAAGGCCTTCCGCAGTGGCCTTTCTGTGTTTTGGCTGCATACAGCAGAAACTCCTGAAACTGTGAGTCAAAATAAACCTAAATTGTAGGTGTCAGGCCCTGTGTCTCATAGTTAAAACAACCTGAAAATGGAGTATTTTTGAGACAAGAAGGTGAAACTGTTCCCCATGTCCCTCCTTAGCTGTCCTTGGACTGTGATCTCCGGACAAAGGCAGAACTGTTATGCACTATGGGAGCTGGTGGAACAGTACACACAGCCGTGCCTCTGTGTCTCAGCCAACAGAAGAGACGAGGAGCAAGTGACAGAGGCCTGGGACCCATGTCTCCCTTACCACCTCCAATGTCAGACATCACGTGATCTCCAGGAGCATCTGGTGTCTTTTGTTTTGTTTTGTTTTGTGCTTTTGAGGCAGGGTCTCACTATGTAATTCAGGCTGGTCTTAAACTCATCTATGTAGCCTAGGTTGCCCTCCAACTCCCAGTGATTCTCCTGCCCCAGCCTCCCAAGTGCTGGGATTACAGGCCTTGTACCTAGCATGATACAAAGTCATTAAAGTCAATCAACTTGGCATCCATACCTTATTTAACCCTAACTAACTTCAAAAAACAGAAAATCATACTTTTACCTCATACATCCAAAAACACCTACTCTACTCTCTAAAGTTGGATACAAAAACTCTTTACCTGTCTTTGGAGTTATTCATGTCTCTTTTAGCTGAATATCATTCCCTTTTTCTGTTTGTTTGTTTGTTGAGACAGGGCCTTACTATGGAATCTGGGCTGGCCTCACCCAGACTGGCCTTGACCTCTTGGCAGTACTCCTACCTCAGCTTCCCAAGTGCTGGGATTATAGGCATCACCATGCCCAGCTCCATATTCTTCCTTTAATATCCTGAAACTCAAATACTGAGGTTAAAGGTGAACTATGAGTAATACATAGTAGATGGTAGAGAATTGAAAAGGAAAACTTAGTTAATATAGTCACACATACATGAGGTGGGTTTGTGAATAACAATATAGGAATCCAAGCAGCCAAACTGATAAATTTGGAATTTAATTGACTGAGCTCAGGACCACTCATATACAGACCAACACACACCGGCTTAGGGTCCAAACAAGAGGCACTGAACTAGAAAGTTACAGAGTTCTTAACAGACAGAATCACAAAAGACATCCTGTTGGAAACAATTTAGCTAGAATCTTACATTAATTTTTGGTTGACACCTGTATCCCGCTTCTTTTGTTGAGCAGGTTAATTTCTCTCCTGTGGGTACAGCCCATTCTGCTTTTCTCATGGGACTCAGACTCTGAGTAATTTTCCGTTTTCCTGAATACAGGGCACTAGTTAAATGCAGGGCTCAAGATGGTGTCAGTTATACCAAGCTACAATACATTTATATCAAAGTAAGAAAATGCTCCCAACCATGACAGCCCCTGTTGCTGTCACTAATCACATGGCATTTATAGGTACTGTACCTTCCTCCTCTACCCAATACTTTACACTCAGGTTGCAGCACCGAGGCTGACTGTGGTCCTTTGCAGTTAGGATGGCCCAAATGCTCATTGTAAGGGCCAGAGCCATGAGCTGTCCTCTCTCCATGGTACTGTTATTTCCTACTGACTGTCATCACAGTACCTAGAAGCACCAAGTGCCCTGGCATTCTCTTCCGTATTCCAAGAACTCTTCCGTCCTTCACTGTGTCATGACAGTGCTTCCATGACCTGGATCATTTCATCACGCTGGCCCCGAGTGGCCTCTACTCTGGTGTAATGGTTGATTGATGCTAATTTGAAGAGTTTAGAAGTTTAACTAAATCAGCTCACCAACTCTACATCCTCAGATGTAGAGGACCATCCCTGGGGCAGCTTGTTGAAATGAGGAAGGATGGGCTCAGTTCTGTTCTTCCAGTCTTCGCCTTCAGCTTGGATGCCATCTCCTGGTTTCTAGTGCAGATTCTTGACTTCCTCTGGGGATCCTTCAGCCTTTGGTCATAGACTCATCAGCCTCCTGGCCCAAACCCATCGGCCTCCTGAAACAGACTCACATGGGACACCGCAGGGAGCTCCAGACCTTGGACTGAAACCTTTGGTCTCCTGTGTGCAGACTCCTACATGCTTCTTCATCTGACTCTCTGGGTAACCATTGTAAAGCAATCTTGTAATTTCTTATACGTTCATATATCTTATGCTATTATCTGTTTCTCTAGTGAACACTAACTGAGACATCTGGCTACTGTTTTGTGGCATGAGTGGCACCTCAAGTGGCCAGGTGGCAGCCTCAGCTTTTGAGTTTAACTAACCACTACAGTGTCTCTAAGTGGGAGTTGTCTATTTTGGAACTGAGGCCTCGAAGCCAGTAGTCCAGTGTTGCAAGAATGGAAAGTAAAAACTTCACAACAGATCGCTAGAGATCATAGAAGAGCCACTCATAGATCCATCCCTTTATTGTAGACCAGTGAAGCTGGCTTGGGGAAAACACTGAGAGAAATATGATCTGCTAATTTTGCTCATGTACCACATCCTAGAGTCTGTTGATGTTTACACATTCAAATTTTATAACATTTCAAAAATACTATGTATGACATTAATGTCTACTTACATTCATCTGGTACTTTTTTTTTTCATAGATGGCCTTGCTTTGTTGCCCAAACTGGCCTGGACCTCACAGTGATCCTCCTGCCTCAGCCTCCCAAGTGCTGGTATTACAGGCATGCACTGCCATGTCCAGCAACATTCATGTCTTAAGAGTTGCTTAGATAGAATTCTGCAAAGTGTGCCGTACTTTTCTCTAAGAAGCATTTTTTGTACTTTTTATTTTAAAGATAGTAAAATCCAACAAAATAGAACAGAACAAAGCCAATCAAGACAATGCAGCAAAATTGGTACAGAACTTCAGAGCAGGATACCAGGATAACAATAATAGGTACGATAATCTTCACAGTAGTTGTCCATTAAATCAGATGTAACAAAACAGAATAAAACCATTCAAAACAGAATATTGAATAAAGCAAAACAATCAGAACAAAGCAAGACAGTGAAAACAATATTGGACTTCTACGATAAGATAAAAGAAAATCCCCCGTATTTACTTTATTGCATACTGTCATCCTCCCAAGAGATGCTCAGACTGCTGGCCCCAGTCCTACATAATCAACCCAACAATACTGAGAATCACTTTTTATCTAAAGGCATAAGGAAATACCTGCCCATTGGGAATCAATGAATGATACTGACACTAACAAGGAATCTCCACACTGATTTCCACAATGGTTGTACCAGTCTACATTCCCACCAGCAGTGGAAAAGGGTTCCTTTTTCCCCACAGACTCCACCAACATTTGTTATTGGTTGATTTCTTGATATTGGCCACTCTTTCTGAATGA